CTATTACTATTATTTACTCCTACTCCTACCCTTACTACTACTACCACGACCACCACCATTACTACTACTATCATTGCTACTATTGCTACCATTACTACTACTAGTACTACCATCATTACTATTACTATTATTTACTCCTACTCCTACCCTTACTACTACTACCACAACCACCACCATTACTACTACTATCATTGCTACTATTACTATTATTTACTCCTACTCCTACTCTTACTACTACCACGACCACCACCATTACTACTACTATCATTGCTACTATTGCTACCATTACTACTACTAGCACTACCATCATTACTATTACTATTATTCACTCCTACTCCTACCCTTACTACTACTACCATGACCACCACCATTACTACTACTATCATTGCTACTACTATTACTATTATTTACTCCTACTCCTACCCTTACTACTACTACCACGACCACCACCATTACTACTACTATCATTGCTACTATTATTACTATTACTATTATTTACTTCTACTCCTACCCTTACTACTACTACCACGACCACCACCATTACTACTACTATCATTGCTACCATTACTACTACTAGTACTACCATCATTACTACTACTACTACTATTATTTTAATTATTATTATTACAGGAGAGGAGAAGCAGGCAGCATAACCAGGAACACGAGCATTGTTTCTCAATATGAGACAGAATGTCTATATTAAATAAATAGCCAAAGCCATATGCAGCCATGAAATATTAATGTGTTCTCACTAAAACCAAAAACCAAATAACCAGAGAAAGATTTCTACCATCATTATCATTGAATGTTCTGGAAATTTTAGCTGACACATTAAGATATGCAACATTAGGAGAGAGAACAAATCTAACTTTTTATTGGTTAACATTTACACAATATGATGGTTCTCTGCCCAGAAAATTACTCCCCCTATTTAAAAATTAAGTGGCTAAACACGAAATGAATATATATAATTTAATGGTTGTTCTAAAAACCAGGATAAAACCATTTACAATATTTAATGAAGACAATTTTCCATTCATAATGGAAACACAAACTATTAAGTGCCTAAATAGCTTTACATAGAATTTTGCAACAATATAAAGGCCAGTAAAAAATAAAAACAAAAAACTTACAGCTACATTTAAAAAATGTGTAAGCTGGGCACAGTGGCTCATGCTGGTAATCTCAGAATTTTGGAAGGCTGAGGCAGGAGGATTGTTTGAGGCCAGGAGTTTGAGACGAGCCTGGGCATCATTGCAAGATCCCATTTTTACAAAAAACAGAAAAATACAAAAATAGAAGAAACAGAAAAATGACGTGGGCTTGGTGGCATGTGCCTGTAGTCTATCTACTTGGAGGCTACAGGGAGCTAGACTGCAGTAAAGATGGTAGTAGCAGTAATGACATTGGAAAAATGTCAGTTCTTCCCAAATTCATGTATAGGGTTAACACAATTGCACTTAAACTTCCGGTGGGATTTATTATTAAATGTGTTCAAGTAAAGCTAAGATTCATCGAGAAGAATGAATTCATAAGCAGAGCTGAGAAAAAAAATTTTTTAATGCAAAATAGAAAAGATTAGCTAGTGAGATCTGTCCTGTTATATATAGAAACATAACATTAATATAGACAGAATATGTGGTTTTGACACAAGAATAGATTGTCAGAACAATGAAGTGAAAGAGAAACTCTAGGAAAAGAATAAATACATTAATATAATGAGGTAAACCTAGACATGTATTCTGACACATTACCCTGAAAGTAATACCAGGTGAGTTCAAGGTTTAAATGCCAAAAATAAGCCACCATAAAAATCTTATGCAGCAGAATATTTGTGTATCTCAGAGGGAGAAAAGGGATTTACAAGTATAAAGGCAATACAAAATAGAACAGGAAATTGATAGGACAACATGAAAGAAGACTTTTTCTATTTAAAAAGTCAGCTTTCAGTTTTTCCCAGTATCAGCCATTGCTGCTTAACATGGAGTCTATGTTTCTAGGCTGGTATTGGAAGAGGATTAGAAATGGAATTATACTACCCATGGGATTACTGTGTAAACAACCTCTAGGATGATTTCTTCTTGGAATGGGACTAAAGATACCATAGTTCTACATCCATTGTGCATTGATGCATTAAATCATTTATAACATTTCCCAAAATTCCAATCCAGAGAAGTTCCTCTATCTCCAGGACATTGCTTTTGGAATTCAGAGAGGCCTGGGTTCCGAATGGGAACAGGAGTGAGATGGTCCAATGAATGGTAACAGTCACTATTATTATCCCTATTTTACAGAGGAAGAATATTCTGCTTCTTTACGAGCCAACATTTACTTTCTCTGAATTAAATGTTACTGGTTTCTTATTTATAGAAAGCAGAGATTGACTGGGCACACATTCCCCCACAGTTTCCAAGACTGTGTAATTATATGCAAAGTAGTTCAATTAAATTCAGTCTAGATGAATCCATATTTCAATAAGGATATTAGTGACTTATCTGAAAAAATTAAAATTAGATATGTTAATCCTGTCATGCTTCCCATTCGAATGCTTTTCCTAAAGAGCAACAACAACAAAAACCTCACTTCCTAATAGTCCATTTAGCTTTTATGTCACACCATTTACAAAGTTTAGGCAACATAAACACACATGATGCATATCTCAGTCCCATATTTCAGTCTACATAATTGTCTAGATAATTTTCTAGACAACCTAGATAATGATGGAAAGGCTGAATGGCAGAGCAGAAAAACCATGTCTTCGTGGTCTGAACTATTGAGAATAAGTACCCTCTCTACCACTTAACAGCTGTACAACTCTGGGCAGATGTGCTGGCCAAGCCCTTTCGATCTTGCAGGCTTACCTAGTAGTCAGGATTTGTTGCAAGAATACAGTGTCAGGTGTGCCCCGGCTACTGCTGCTCTCAGGGCAGTGTTCCCTTTCTCTTTATATGTCCTAATATTTCTCCCACAGCTACCAACCAGCCCATTCTTCCAGTCCTTCCCTGTTCAGATCCTAATGGGAGAGAGGTGATGGTCTTAGATAGTCACCTTCTGAGCAGAGATTTGTTGTAGAAGCCAAGCCACTGTGAAGGACACAGGCTGCCCGATAATCTGGCTTCCTGATATTCTGGCTGCTCTTAGGTCAGATCTCATACCTGGTCAAAGTGATGCCAGCTCTTTCTCAGTGATTGCTGAATTCTCCCTCCTTCAACAAGCTTTATATGGCAGCGTTTCCCTTAGAGGGACATAGTGGGTGGGGGGACAGCAACAGTGGATGACATGTGTATTACAGCAGTGCTGGGCATCTTCATAACCAACGTGAACACGTGGATCATTCTTACAATGTGCCTGACGTCTCATGAAACAGTCAATGTTTCTTTTTTTTTTTTTGAGACGGAGTTTCGCTCTTGTTACCCAGGCTGGAGTGCAAAGGCGCGATCTCGGCTCACCGCAACCTCCGCCTCCTGGGTTCAGACAATTCTCCTGCCTCAGCCTCCTGAGTAGCTGGGATTACAGGCATGTGCCACCGTGCCCAGCTAATTTTTTTGTATTTCTAGTAGAGACGGGGTTTCACCATGTTGACCAGGATGGTCTCGATCTCTTGACCTCGTGATCCACCAGCCTCGGCCTCCCAAAGTGCTGGGATTACAGGCGTGAGCCACCACACCCGGCCCACATTCAATGTTTCTTAATTCACTCTCACAGCGAGAATGAGGTAAGTGTTGCTATTGTTATTTGATATTTTATAGATAAAGAATGAGAAGCTTACAGCAGGAAATAACTTTCTCAAAATGATAAGATCAGTAAGCGGATAATCTGTTGGATTCCAGAGTTGATGCTTTTAGCTATCAAGCCATACTCCTTCTCACTACATTTCCCTGAGCTTGGGTTTCGTCATCTATCAAGCTGGAATTGCACTGCCAGTTTGCCTTTAGAGCTATAGGCAATAAATGTTATTCATTGATCATAATAAATAACATATAGTAGAGCAAAGCATGGAAATTCAGGAAGTAACAAAGAGCAATCGTAAGACTGTGAAGAATGTATGTGGCAAATCTAGATAAATCATACCGGTATAAATAATTACAGTAGCGCCTTTAAAACACGCATCAATAGCACTTTATTAAGTCAAGAATGCACGTTGCATCTATTACAGAAAACGGCAGTTTTTAAAAAACATATAAGTAACAAGCTAATAGAAGAAGAAATGTAATTATAAAATATTAAATAAATCCAAAAACCTTAAGGAAGGACACAAAAAATCACAGAACAGACAGAGAAAACAGGGAACAAATAGTAAGATGGTAGTTAAACCCAAGTTACGTGAATATAAACAAAGTACTCAAATTGAAATGTAAAGCTTATCGTAGAAGGTAAAAATATCAAGCAAAGTTAAACAAGCCGCTTACAAGAGACACACTTTAAATATAAAGATATTGACAGGCTGAAAGTAAGGGATGGAAAAACTACCCTGCAAAGCCAAAGCTACAAAATGAAAGCTAAGGGTGGTTTATTTCAGAATAATAAAAGTTTCAGGTTTAATACGAAGCAATCTTAAATTTGTTTACACCTAATAATATTGCCTCGAAATACATAAAATAAAAATGGACAAATGTGCAATCATGTTGAGAGACTAAAAGTCAGATTTCTCCAGAAAAACAGAATCAAAAGGATATATACATTAAGAAATATATTGGCCGGGCGCGGTGGCTCAAGCCTGTAATCCCAGCACTTTGGGAGGCCGAGGTGGGTGAATCACCAGGTCAGGAGACTGAGACCATCCTGGTCAACATGGTGAAACCCCGTCTCTACTAAAAATACAAAAAATTAGCTGGGCGTGGTGGCGCGTGCCTGTAATCCCAGCTACTCAGGAGGCTGAGGCAGGAGAATTGTCTGAACCCAGGAGGCAGAGGTTGCGGTGCTCCAGCCTGGGTAACAAGAGTGAAACTCGGTCCCCCCCTAAAATATATTAAGAAGTTTGTTTTAGCATATTGGCTTACATGACTGTGGGGCTGGCAAGTCCAACATCCGTAGGAGAAGCTGGAACTCGGGCAGGAAATGATGCTGCTGCTTTAGGCAGAATTTTTTCTTCTCTAGGAAAGTTCGGTTTTTGCTCTTAAGGCTTTCAACTGATCGTAGGAGGCCGACTTACAGTATGAAGAGTAATCTTTATGTAAAGTCAACTGATCGTAGATGTTAACCACATTTACAAAATGCCTTTGCAGCAGTACCTAGATTAGTGTTTGATTAAATAAATGGGCACTAAAGGCTGGGTGCAGCGGCTCACACCTATGATCCCAGTACTTTGGGAGGCCGAGGCAGGTGGATCACCTGAGGTCAGGGGTTCAAGACCAGCCTGGCCAACATGGTGAAACCCTGTCTCTACTGCAAATACAAAAATTAGCCTGGCGTGGTGGTGGGTGCCTGTAATCTCACATACTTGGGAGGTCGAGGCAGGAGAATCACTTGAACCCGGAAGGTGGAGGTTGCAGGGAACTGACATCGTGCCACTGCATTCCAGCCTGGGCTACAAAAGCAAAACTCCATGTCACCAAAAACCAAAAAACAAACAAACAAACAAAAAAAGGCACTAAAGCCTGGACCCCCATGATGACACAGGAAACTAATCATCATGGAGACTTTATCCACACTTTTGAATATATGTTACATTTCAATTAAAAAAAACACACAATCATAAAGCAATAAAAAAAATTAAGTTGAATCCTTCGTAACTGCTGGATTCCCTGGGAGGCTGACTGTGAGATGAAGATGAGCATGCAGGACATTTCTTACAGGTCGTTCTTGGGATCAACACCTGAGGAGAGGAGCAGCTGAGGCGGGATCAGGAAGGGAGGAAGTAGAGTGCAGTGCTGGTGAAGCAGCACCATCTGGGGTAAAAATCCTGGGTTCATCATCTCACGTTGAGAAGATTCACGACATGGATACATACGGGTGAGTTAAGGAGCAGAAAGTTTAACAGGCAGAAGAAAGAAGAGGGGAGAGCAGCTCTCCCTTGTGAGAGATCGGCATCCTTAAGGGAAAGGCTGGCCCATAGCGACCGCATGGGTCTGGCTTGAGGGGTGGTGTCTGATTTATGTAGGGCCCACAGATTGGTTCCACCAGGGGTGAGTTTACATATTGAGCAGGGAAGGCTGGTCACCCCACCCTAATCTTATTATGCAAATAGGGTTTCCACTTGGCCAGTCCCATCTTGTCCTTTTCTTACTATATATGTGACTAGCAAAAAGAGAAGATGGAGCCACCATTCTGAATATGCCTATTCCCAGATAGATATTTCCATTGGCACAACTGCCATCCTGCACCTATGCAAGCTTCCAGGTTGCTTGTCTATGTCTGCAGCTCGATTTTACAGGCTGCTCTTTGTTAGAAAAGAAAATGATTTGGGAGCTGCTTTTCATTAAAAGGAAAACCTTACTGAGGACTCCCATACCCTCACGTCTGCCTAAGTACTTGCTTCTTAACTCCTATATCATTGGGTCAGCAGCAACCCCAGCCAAATCTCAAGGAAGACTGGAAGATGGGACAATCTGTCAGAGCTGTGATGAGTTGGGGCAAGAGGGTTGACATTTATGGATTGCAAATCAGTGACTCATTGGAGGTGGGGCAACCTGGAAGGAAGTGTGGCCTTGGGTGAGGCAGCTGTCTTCAGAGGAGACAATCTCTTTGTATCTGGAGGGGTAATTGTTAGTATTCCCCTAAACTGAAGGGTGAATTATGGAGAATGGGAATAGAATGGTTGGTTAAAATGATTTGGTTGATGACTTATTTTCTCTGTTTCCTTAGCTCCATCTTGCTGAGCAAAAATGAAGGAACCTGGACCCATCTTTGTTACTGTGAGAAAGAGTCTTCATTCATTCAAGATGGTATTTGTTAAACACCTACTATGAGTAGATGGTTTCCTGTCAACAGTTAAGAAATCCTCATTATATTGCTTTCATGGTCAGTTATTGGTAATGAGTAACTCACATTCTCTTAATTGTAATGCTTCCTTGGAAAGTCATCATGGAAGATGAAGGCTGGCTCGTACATTTTCCCAGACAGGAATTGGGCTGCCAACAGGGAATTCTGAAGAACTGACAACTCCAGGTGATAAGTGCACAACATAATGATGGTTACATTTAACAAAAGAACATGGTAATAAAATTTCCATGTAATATTTTGTGTAAGCGCAGGTAACCAGTCATTTTCTTTGTAGAATTCTTATTTTTAAACAATTTGGAATGCTTTGTTATTTATGACATATGATGGGCAACTATACTATGATTTTTTTGAGTGACTCAATTGTCTTATTTTTTTCACATTTAATGACTTTGTTTCTCCTAAGTGAGTGCACAGATAGTATATCAATCAGGCTTCTCTGGAAAACTGGAATCAATTTATTACCAGATACTGGTTCATGTGATTGTAGAGGTTGAGAAGCCCTATGATCTATTCTCTGCAAGCTGGAGACCCAGGAAAGCTGGTCAAAGGTCTGAGAGCTGGAGAGCCAATGGGATAGATTCCAGCCCAGGTCTAAAGGCCTGAGAACCAGAAGCACAGACGAAAGAAGATCAATATCCCAGCTCAATCAGGCAAAGAGAAAAAGTCCTCCCTTCCTCTCCATTTTTCTTCTATTCAGACCCTGGATGCATTGGATGAGGCCCAGCCACATTGAGAAGAGCCATCTGCTTTAGTCAGTCCACCAGCCCAAAGCCTGATCTCTTCCAGAAACACCTTCACAGACACACCCAGAAATAGCACTCAATGGGCTAGGGCCTTCCTGTGGCTCAGTCAAGTTGACACACAAAATTAACCATCACGGATACACATCGAAGTGGCAAGCTGTATTTTAAAACGTAGTAGGTTAGTGAGTCCGGCTTAAGAGCACTAGATTAAAACCACAGATAAAGATGTTTTTGAACATTCTGTGTCTGACTCTCCAGATCCCCTGCCTCCCTCCCCACCATGTACTGAACCCCAGAATGCTGACCTCTATGAACAGCCCCAACTGAGCTCTATGACCCTCTGGCTTCCCATTGGTTAGTGGAGGCACAGAGGGAAGGAGGCAGGAGGACAGAATGGCTGGGGTACCGAGGGTCCTCTCAGGCCACTGGAGGGCCGGGGCTACATTCCTGTGTGAAGCTCACTGCCTCGCAGTCCTTTCCTCTAGCTCTCTGTGGGGTCTGGTGACCTCCCCTTACAGTTCCATCAGTCCTAGGGGAGGTAATGGCTCTCCAGTGGCTGCTGCCGATAGGTGTTTCAGTGTCTCCTGTTGGCCCCCGTAGCCCCACCCACACCTGTGTAAACAGCCCTTCCTTAACCTCACTGCGGTTGCCTCATCTGAGTGTGCCATCTGTTTCCTGACAGTGCTCTACTGATAAAGCAGTTTGGTACAGGTCTCCATCACATGTATTTACCTCTGTGTCCTCCGTATTCCTCATTGATCAGGGTTGTAAATCTTCTCTTCCTGTGACACTAAATTGCCCTTAATAAAGCTTATTAACCCTAAAGGTCAGGGCAAAATCAGAGCTAGTCTCAATTTCTTAAAGGGGACATTATACAGAAGGTTAGGAACTATTAAACACCAATATTCACATGTGTTCCCTGCCGCCCCCCATCACTGCCAAGCTAATAAACATACATATGTACTTTTTGAAAACCAGGTTGTTTCTGGCTCCCAGTAGGTGCTGGTCAGAGCAATGACTTCCAGCTCAGCACTTTCTGTAAACAAACATGAGTTGTTAACATCTCTGCATCAACTCGGGTTTCCTGTTGCTTTTGTTTAAATTGAAGTCTTTCATTTAATATAAGATTTAGAGATTTTTGTCTCAGAGCTCACCAGGATTTGCTACTTTTATCTATTGTAGCTTTTAATCTTTAAAATCTAGGGTTACTTACAATTCCAAGTATGAACATTAGTTTTGCTTTTATGTTCCATTTTACTGCAGGGGAAGAGGGGAACATGTACCAAGTTACTGATTATTTTACTTCCATTGTTAATACACATTGGAATATCACACTTCTTGTGCACCTGGAACTTAAAAAAATTTTAGTTTAAAAAAAAATTATAATCATGAAGTCAGAAGTTCGAGACCAGCCTGGCCAACAGTGAACCTCATCTCCACTAACAATCAAAAAATTAGCTGGATGTGGTGACACACACCTGTAGTCTCAGCTACTCAGGAGGCTGAGATGAGAGAATCACTTGAAGCCAGGAGTTGGAGGTTGCAGTGAGCCAAGACCACACCATTGTACTCCAGCTTGGGTGACAGAGTAGACTCCCTTTCAAAAAAAAATTATAGTAAAATATACATAACATAAAGTGCATCGATTTAACAATTTTTAAGTGTACAATCTAATGGCATTAAGTACATCTGCATTGTTGTGGAAAATCCCAACCATCCACCTCCAGAACTTATCTTCCAGAATTGGAACTCTGCACCCATTACACAGGAGGATCCCAATCTCTTTTCCGGTAAGCCCCTGGCACCCACCATTCTCCTCTGCTTCTAAAAATTTGACTACTCCGGATACCTCATATAGGTAGACTCATGTGCTATTCGTCCTTTTGTGACTGGCTTCTTCCACTTGCCGTAATGTCTTGAAGGTTCATCCACATTTTATTAATAGCAAGTTTTGGAATTCCCTTCCTTCCTAAGGCTGAATAATATTCCATTGTGTGAACAGACCACATACTGCTTTTCTGTTCATCTGTTGATGAAAACTTGGGTTGCTTCTACCATTTGGCTGTTGTGAATAACACTGATGTGAATATGGGTGTACGAGTATTTGTTCAACCTTTGCTTGAGTTCTTTGGGCTATATGTGTGAAAATGGGATCCTGGATTATACGGTAATTGTATGTTTAATTTTTGTGGAAGCTCCATATTATTTTCTGTGGTGGCTGCACCATTTTACATTCCCAATAGCAGTGCACAAAAGTTCCAGTTTTTCCAAATCCTCAATAGCATTTGTTATTTTCTGTTTTCCATTCTGCTCTGATTTATCTTTTGACATGGAATATTCTTATACATGGTTACGACCCATCATGGTGGTCTTTATCAAGTTAGAGGCTGCGAAGCTTCCATATCATTCATTCTTCTAGGGATAAAGGCATTTGTAAAATATCAAATTCAGTTAACACTGCTAAATGTCTTAAATTATGTGTGTGGGAGGGAGGAACTACTGGATTTTATAAGTGCTTATTACACTTGAAGATGACACACTTCTTTTCTATTGAACATTTTAAAGAACAGCTTAATTCATCCCAACTAATATTTTCTGAGGGCCACTGTGTACCAGGTTCTGTTACAGGTGAATGAACCCATCAGTGAACAAAACCTTAAAATAACTACAAATCATTTGGAAATCCACTATTACAGTGGCTTCTTTAGGGATGACAGTGCTTTCCTACATGCTACCTGGGAAATGTGCTTCCTTCCAAACTCACTATTACGTCTCAAGCGATTGGTTCATGGCTCAGAAAAGACGAGAGTGAGAGGCACTCCTTCTGCCGCCCTTACTTTGTGCTTGTCCATGGCACTCACCACTTTCGACCTTGTCATTCGTGTGCTTGTTTTATTTTCTTACAAGACTTTGAGTTTCTTGAGAGAAGATTTCATCTGTATTTGATTTTCTGCAATTATCTGCAGCATTTTTGTGTAGAAGCATTCAAAAGATATTTATTTCATTTGCTGAATAATAATGAACCTGGCTGTTTCGTATTCTTTTTATGAGATGATCAATCACAGTCACATGTAGCCACAGAGGAGACAGAGGGGAGGCTCAGAAAAACAGTGTATTATACTCACAGGTCCTACAAAGAGGAAGCACACCACGCCAGGCAGGACCACATGGGAAAAAAACACCAGAGTGATCAGGAGGCAGGAGGCAGGGGCTCGGGAAGATGTTCAGCCAAAGCCTGTGCTGGAGTTTTCTCAGGGAAGTCAGGTGAGCAGCTTAGGGTGGACTAGTTTGAATCATCCTGGTGGGCTCTAATCTCTAGGAG